ATTTACTTTTGTTTTTTGTTAAGTAAGTCCAGTACATCAACCTGCAAGTCCATACTTTCTGCTTCAGAGTTAACTCCTTACAGAAGTTTGCAGAGAGTGTATTTGCGCTCATGCCTTCTTGATCCTTGAGTGGTATTCTTTTAAGAAAAGAATTAACATGTCTTAATGGAGCTCAGTGTATTATTTTCATGCATGCATGCATGCAGCAAACATAAATCGCATGCATCCATTTTCTCCTTATCCTAACACTATTCTGAATTCTTAGTAATATCTACCCTACTCAGATTAAAGTTTAATTTCACGGAAGTGAGAATGTAGGACAATACTCAGCCTCCATAAACCAACTTATTTCAACTAACACAGTACCTTTCTATTTCACTCATTTTGCTGCAAATAATGGGGCTTCATTTCTCTTTATGACTGTGTACTACTCCTCTCCTGTCTTAAAAAGACTTAAATGCAAAATACCAAACAGACCTTATTTCCTGTCAGTGGGCCCTGAATGGTGTCTTTGATTCTAGTTTTTTACATTGGGCTCCATAATTTTTCTCTATAATGGACTGTAGCTAATTTCTCTATAGATGATAGTTTGATATTTTTAAGCCACATCTGACTGACAACACAGAGCTCACAGGAGCCAAAGCAGTTTTGATACTGCTTCTTAGTCTGATCTGTGGTGGTCAAGCTTCTACCCACATTCTTGGGAAATCTCTTTTGAACCAGTATGGAGTAACCAGACTTAGAAACCATTATTCCATGCAATGTATGTACCCAAATTTGCCTCAGTCTAGGAATGTTGGGCACATTTATTCAGGCAGATGGCTTTTAGCACCAAAGCCTGCAGCTTCCATCATTTCCATGTGGGTTCCAGAATTTCTTCTTTATTCATTTGCATGGTCTCCAGTGGGAATGCCCACACGCACTCATCACATGATACACTCCTTTAAAGGGAAATAAAATATTGTCAATAATAACTTTCTATCATTGCCATATATAAATGAGCAACCTAGCTCTAGAGAAATTCCCAGAAATCCACAAGGATGGCCCCAGCTAAGCAATAGAGGAGAGGGAGCCTGATCTTGACTTGCCCTGTAGTCAGACCTATGAATAACTTAAATATCACCATAGAGCCTTCATCCGGAAACTAATGAAATCAGGCAGAGAATTGCATTGGAGCATTGAAATGAGATCCCAAAGTCCAGCTGAAGAGTGGGAGGAATGAGAATATGAGTAAAGAGGTCAAGACCAGGATGGGTACACCCACTCAAACAGTCTACCTGAGCTAATGGGAGCTCACTAGCTCTAGGCAGACTGGGAAAGAACAAACATTGGACCAAACTAGTCCCTCTGAATGTGTTTGACAGTTACATGGCTGGGACAGACTGAGGGACCACTGGCAGTGGCAGTGGGATTTGCCCTACTACATACACTGGCTTGCTGGGAATTTGTTTTCTTTGAATGGATACCTTGCTCAGCCTAGATAAAGTAGGGAGGGCCTTGGACCTTCTCCAAAGCAATGTGCCTTACCCTCTCTGAGGATTGCATTGGGGTAGGGTGGAAGGGTATGTGGAGAGAATAGGAAGAGGGGAGAGAGTGGGAACTTGGATTGGTATGTATAATGAAAAAAAGATAGTTTGTTTTCTTTTGTAAAAAAATAAATAAAAAATAAGAAGAAAAAAATGAGCATAATTAATATAGATTTTAATTTTAAAAGTTTCATTCCATTTTCCTTTCATACTAATACCTTAGGAGTAATAAACATCTCTTGAAATGACTTTTCTAAATCTATATGAAGACTATTTCAAACACTTGGCATTTTGCTTGTTTTAGTGACTTGAGTTATACCAAGTTCCAATCTTCTGCATAGCTTCTGTGGAAATGGCTAAGACAAAGGGAGTAGGAAGTTGGCAATGAAGAAGATCAATTTTGTTTTTAATCAGCTCATTTGAAAGGTTTTACCTCTGTGGTTGTTCTAACATTTAAAAGTGAATATTCGTTGCCCTAAGGACCTGTGAAGCATGATCTTATGTGGCTGTAAATGACCCACATGTATCCTTTTAACCCTACTACCTAGCCAAATTCTAAAAGTAAGAAGGGAAATCTTCAAATTAATTTTTATAGAATTTAATTCATTATCTCATTCAGAGCTCAAAGAAAGAAACCCATGAGAAGATTATGAAGACTCATTTATATGTTAAGAGATTTCTTCTCAGGGGTCTTCTTGTGTTTGTAGAGAATAAGGAAGAAAAGGCACAGGCAGGATTTTGCCCTTTCCAGGAAAAGTAAGATTTCTTTCCAGAATTCTCCAATGGACATGGTGAAATCAATCAAACTACACAGACTGATGCTTTTGATAACATTTATTACAACTTCCAATGACTCCTAGATACTCCTTTTTTCACATAATTTTTTACAGTAATCTACCTAAATTGGCCCATTAATATGACCACGGGTGGTAGACCCCAAATAACATTGTTGTAAAATGTGATTAATATAAATATCTTTAGAGAGCTACTTTATCTTCTAAATTGAGTCTTCATGCACTTTATTCTTTAAAAAATATGAATTTGAACTTGCCACATAAGTGAATATGCACAAATATGTATCAGTGAAATTGGAACAGTGATGATGTATCTGATATATTTCTATTTGATACTGCTTATACTTTATATTTACAGTAGTGATTCTCTAGTATAGTAAGGAAGTCACTAGTTAGTTCCCGGCCGCTTAGCCCTGAAATAATCACACAGAAACTATATTATTTATGTCACTGTTTGGCCCATTAGCTCTAGCTTTTTATTGACTAACTCTTACATCTTATTTTAACATATTATTTAACCATTAATATATGCATCACCATGAGGTCATGGCCTACCAGCAAAGTTTCAGTGCATCTGTCTCTGGCGGCAGCTCTATGACTTCTCTCTGACTCTGCTTCCTTTCTTCCAGCATTCAGTTTAGTTTTCCACATCTAACTAAGTTCTGCCCTACTATAGGTCCAAAGAAGTCCTTTATTAACCAATGGTATCCACAGCTTACAGAAGGGAATTCCACATCACCCAAGGGAGTTCATTTTGTGTGACAGGAAACGTAAAGACAGTTTTCATTGTCACAACTAAATGATGTATATGACACTATGAGTATCAATTAGGTAGATCCAGGGATGCTGCTAAATAAATACCTTTGAATGCACAGAATAGCCCCACAATATTACCAGAACATATTCAACAAATCTAAGAAGATCAACCATGCTAAGCTGAGAAACCTTTCTGTGGAGTTGAAGATGGAAGCATTGAGGAAACGAACAGCATTGGGAAAGCCAGGCAGAAAGAAATCCTCCTTGATTTGTCCTTGTGCCTTGCAGACTTTTGTTTTAAAGAAATATGAATGAACTCATAGTCTTATCAGCACTGTCTGACAATGTGCAACATCACAATTAGACGATAGTAGACAAATGCAACTATGCATATTAAAAGGATTGATTAATGGTAGACATTGAGGTAAGACCTTCACAGTTGTACATGTCTGCTTAAACAAGGAATGGACATCATTACCTGTCTTTTCACAGCATATTGAGGATATTTGAATGACTTACCTAGGTATAGAAGACTTCAAAAATATAACAAAGAAAAATGCAAGTTAAGAGATGAGAATTTTAAATATGTACAGTAATTACTGTCATAACTGACTAGCTGCCTAATAAGCGAGTTAAACACTCAAACATCACGGACCTTTTTAAAGAAAGCACATGATATTTAAGGATGAGTAACCTTTGGAAGTAACAATAACAGTTTTCAAATCCTCATTTCAAATTTACTTTTCTCTAAATTAACTGCAAATTTAGAATTTACTTCATTTTCCATGGCTTGGCAATATATATAATAATTTTGATGAAGTTATCAGCAATTTGAATAAACCTGTGAAAATCTGGTATTTAGAGAAAAATTCAGCTAACTATGAAATGTACTATATATGGTGGGCATAATTGCTGCTTAAATACAATGACAGATGTCACTTATGAATGTATTTTGGTGTCAATAATTCTAGGCTGTAGTTCCTGTGAGTGGCTACAGTTCACTTCATAAATTCTTAAATATGAAAAAGCTCAATCTTTCTTAAAAATCTAAATAAAATTTATACTAAAGGTTTTCAGTTTGTATTGAGAAGAATTAAAGTTAAGCATAACCAGAGTTCCTGATCATTTTCAGGAAATGCTGACGGGCATCTCTGTCAGTGTAAATTCTCACTTTTGAAATGGCTGGTTTTGAGACCACTCAAGTTTTCCTATATTTCCATAAAGAAGTTATGCAGTAATTATTAAGAAGCCTCTTTCAGACCTCACCAAGTGATGGATCAGCCTGACTCCATCTTGGGCTTGAAAGTCATCTTATGGAAAAGACAAACTAAGCTCATTCTTGTTTTTGATTAAACCTTTGTTTCTCAAGGATTGAGCCACGCCCCACCTGTAACCTTAATTACAAATGCTTCTCTACTGCCTGTGGTAGGAAATGGCAATCATGCCTTTGTTACAAAGCCTCCTTTCACCCCTGCCTTTGTTCCAAAAGGTTTTTATGGCCATCTCTTTTTATGACTACCTTATGACCACCTTGCAACCATGTCTTTGTTTCAAGAGGTATTACGACTAACTTGTATGCTTATGTTCTGCTCCTGTAACTCTGGCTACTTTGCCTGTCAAATCTCTTCTTTCGAAACTCCCTATCACTGAACTATAAAAAGTATGTTTTCTTCACTTCCAACACTGGCTTTTTGAACCTCTCCTTAAGGGGAGGCAGCCATGTACATGAATTTAAAAAGCTTGCTCTAATTAATCTGTCCATGATGACTTGGGTCATTGATCTTTCTCTTCCCTTCTTTGGGACTACCTCAAACATATTAGAAAATTTTGTATTTTGTAATGGAATTTAGAAGTTTAGGTCTCAGGTATGGTTTAAATTTTGTACTTTTTCAATTTTTAACTTATACATTCTCTGTTTCTGCAGAAATACACAAAGAAAAGGCTGAAAAGCAGGAGAAAGCTGAGAAGAAAACGCAGACTAAAGGTACAAGTTCCATTTCGTGCTGGTACTGCTGCTGCTCCTGTTTCTCCTCATATTCCTTCTCCTGGTCTTTCTCTTCTTTTTTTCCTCCGTCTCTTCCTTTCTTCCTTCCCTTTCTCCTTCTCCTTCTCCCCCGTCTCCTCCTCATTCTTCTCCTCCCCCTATTCCTCTTCACTTTTCTTTTGAAAAGATACACATCTCTGTTGATGCATCCATATGGAGGAAGAAGTATTTCATGATTAACTATGTTTACTTTTAAGTTTCTGGTATCATTTTAATCAATTAAACCAATTAAATCATAGAATCATTAGATTACATCATTGGGAATGCCTTAGCCCCATGCTCTCTTCACAGCCTCAAGAGATAGACTGTGACAGTAAGGTAATTAAAGCACTGTAGTCCTTTTTGCCAGTTTGATTCCAGGAACTATGATCATGTGATAGAAGCATTTCAATCATACTTCCTTGCTAATCTGACAAGTGATACTTTTCTGTGGGAGATCCATGAAGCCATTATATGTTAAATAAACCTAGAGCAAACAATGACATTCAACAGGGACAAATTTCTAAGCATTACTAGGTTTTGAAAATAGGCAGTTAAACATAATTTTGTATGCTCCAGGGGACAAAATATTTCTCATAGTTATTATAGCTATGGGATACAGAGAAAAATAATAAAATAATTTCCCTGGAATAAAAAGTTAGTTTTGGAAAAGCTGAGTACATTGTCAAATAGAAGAATGATTCAATTTCATGTGCAAAAGTCTGAGTTTAATTACCAAAGCCTTCCATATGCAAAATTAAACAAAGCAAATATAATTATATATTTATTATATTAAAACCTAGCTAATGTAAAAATTAACTCTTACAGGTAGTTAAAATATTAAGTTGAAAATATTAAGTTTTCAAGTATTAGAAGCCTCTATTAGCTTACAATTACTTTCTTAACTATGTTGAGATGTCTGAGTTTATCTAAATTGGTATTTATAAACTGTTGTTTATAAATATACTTTATGTCTTAATCTCCCTATGAGACTGGGGGGGCAATTACATTAAAACTACCACAAATCACTCCCTGGTCCACTAAACTTGTAACAATATCATAATGCAAAATGCATTTTGTCTAACTAAAAAGTCCTGATTGTCTATCACAGTCTCAACAATGTGTAAAAGTCAAAAGTTTCATGCAGCCTCTTAACTATAATTCCCTGTAAAATCAAAATAAAAAAGCAGATAACATACTTCCAAAACATAATGGCACAGGATATACATAACCATTCTAAAATGTAGGAAAGGGGGCAGAGTAAGGAAATACTGGACTAGAAGAAGACCAAAACCTGCTTGGCAAACTCCAAACTACAACTTCACATCTGATATCAATATGTTTTTCAGATCTCCAGCTCTGTTCAGCTTTGCTGACTGAACATTTTCTTTTTCCTGAGCTAGTTCCAGTTCCTGTGAGCATCTCTTTCGCAGATATCCTATGCCTCTAGAATCTTTAAACTCTTGGGGTCTCCAAGGCATCTTATTCTTCAACTTCACAGCTTCATGAAAGGGCCCCTTTAGGCCTCGATTCAGGGACATTGATGACACTTTTCTGGCCTCAGCAGCTTTCCTTAGCCATGGAGGCAAATTCAATTCTCTAACCTATTTCTTCTATACTTAACTCTAAAAGTTAGAACCATGTAGTGAAAGCTGCCATGTTCTGCTGCATGCTGGGTCTAAAATATGACCCCTTCATTCAATTTTCTGTTTAATTGTTGCTCTCATTGCCTAAACTTGACTATAACTTGAACTTGCTCTATAGACCAGATTGGTCTCAAATTCAGGAGTATAGCAGACTCTGCCTTCTCATTGCTGGGATTGTACCACTATACCCAGCTCTAAGATTTTCTTCCCCCAAGGTTAACACTCTACTACTAAAGCCTTTTATCTCCTTGAACACAGGACTCAGTTCCATTTCACTTTGTCGTGACTCTTTTCTCCCCAAATATTTTCCTGGCCTAGCTTGTTCTTTTTCATTATAAGTCTATATCAGAGTTAACTAATAACCACAAAGCAGAGTCTATGCAATGCTCTTTTAAGATTTCCTCTTCCAACAGAATTAATCCAAAACTCTCCACTTTAGTCTGAGGCTTTTTCTCTGGGCAAGGGCAAAAAGCAGCTACATTTTTTACCAAAATATTACACGATCAGTTTCTAAACCACACACTAACATTCTTCTCCTCTGAAACTACTTGATTGCTGCAGTTCATCAAATCACATTCAACACCACTGTTTTTCATGCTCCTACTAGTATGGCCCATTAAGCAGTTCTTAAAGTATTCCACTGCTTTTCCTAATGCAAACTCCCAAAGTCCATTTTACTTCAAGCAACAACATGGTCAGGTCTAACACAGCAGTTCACCACTCCTGGTACCAACTTCTTTCTCAGTTAGGATTTTTATTCTTGTGAAGAGACACCATGACCAATACAACTCTTATAAATGAAAACATTTAGTCAGGGTGATTTGCTTACAATTTCAGCGGTTCAGTCCATTATCATGACAGGGAGCATGGCATTGTTTAGGAAGACATGGTGCTAGAGAGGTTCTGAGAGTCCTTCATTTTTCAGGCAACAGGAATTTGACTGCAACATTGGGTGGTATCCTGAGCATAGTAGACCTCAAAGTCCACCTCTACAGTGACATACTTCTGCTAACAAGGCCATACATACTCCAACAAAACTAAACCTCCTAATAATGCCAGTCTTTATGAAATTATAGGAGCTAATTACATTGAAACTAGAATACTTCATTTACCTATCTTTTTTGATGAACCCAGATAATCCTTTAGATATTAAACATGTTATCATAATGCTTGAATTCCAGATTGATCAACCCAAACTTAAGCAAAACACTGACACCCACTCACCTTAGATTGGTCTATGCTTGTATTTAGGGGCTAATGTCTTATTGAATATGTTCATTTTTGTGTTCTTAACTCTTTTGACCTAGAAAATTGGACACTGTTTCAGGGACAGGATTGATTAAGAGAACCATTACCGAACTGGCTACTTCTCTCTGCCTGAACCGAAAGGCAAATTTAACTGGTTCCACTTGATCAAGGTCTCCACATCTACATTCTGCAGACTCCATAGTAATTTAGTAGCAAGATAGCTGGAGTGAGTATGGTGACGTTGATGAAAACATTTGCATTTTCAGCATAGCTCCAGAATCCTGCTGTCAAAGTCTTTAAGCAGTGGGCTGTGGAGTGGATTTATTAAACCAGTGAGTCTCCTGTAATAAAAAAGTAGTGAGCTTGGCTGAAGTCTAAAATAAATTTCTCAAAGTCTGTGCAGGAGATTAGTCACCTGAATATATTTCTTGAATAGACGAACTATATCTGAGTAAAACAAATAATTCTGAGAGAGAAAGATACAGATGATAGATAGATAGATAGATAGATAGATAGATAGATAGATAGATGATAGATAGATAGATAGATAGATAGATAGATAGATAGATAGATAGATAGATAGATAGAGATAATCTATAGGTAAGCAGGTAGGTATGTAGAAAGACATATATATTTGCATATATATAATTAGCTAGTTAGATAAAACATATATAAACAAATATATATATGTGTGTGTGTGGCTAGGTAGATGAATGGATAGATGATAGATAAACATATACATAAATGCATAAATACATAGGTAGATACATAGATAAATGACATATACATGCATGCATACATACATACATACAAAGGTATACTTCTGTATTTTATTTTGCTTTTTATCTTGTCAGAACATGAGTGGAATATTTCACTTGCTTTCAAGTTTCCTTTTTGTAATTAAGATAAGATAATGTTTAGTTTTTATTTTTCAATAGAGTTTCATAACTACAATTTTCTGAATACTTTTAGACCTGAAGTGGTCTCTTAAGTCACATTCCAGTTCAGTTGTGGGTAAATTTAAGGGTTAGTTATGGTTTACTTTGTCATTAAAACAACTGAAAGTCTTTTAAGAAAGTATGTAATACCTTAAGATATGTTACCTATGATCATTATAAACAAATACCTTAGTTTGGTGGAGAAATAAGTTTTGATGGTAATTAAAACTAGAATATACACTATTTCACTTTCTTTTCTTTGGCTTATTTTTTCCTCTTTCTTGTCATTACTTCTGCAGCCTTTTCCCCCCATCCCTTTAAAAGAAAAACAAAAACAAAAGCTTCTTATGATTCATAGGAAGAGTTTCATAATACATGGTCAGTTTAAACCTAGAATATTTACTTAATATTTACTTATCAAAGAAATACAGAAAAGTAAATAATATGTCATGCCAGAAAATACAGATTTCTAACACACATCCATTCAAATAGGTTAAATGATTTATATTAAAGGGGCACATAATCAGTTTTAATTTTTATTAGGCATAGAAAGTAAGATAATTTCTATAGTTTTTGATGCTAGATATGTAAGATATTAACTTTTCTGTTTTGCCCATCTTTTTATTTTGATACTTTTCATTGGAGGAAGAATAGAATAATTTCTTGAGTTAAAGAGTAATCCTAGTAATGTGTATTGGATATGGCTTTAAGCATAAGCTCTGACTTGCTAGTTAATACTTGCCTTTAAACTAAACTAACCATGGTAATATTTTCCCATAAAAGAAAATAAAGTAGGAATTTATTTTATAATTATAATCAGAGCACTGTATGTTCTTGTGACCTTGTATTGAGTTTGCGTAGTGATTAATGCAGAGCATCATTACATTTGCTTAGAAGAAACACAATCATAGTGTAACTCTCCTTGGATTATTCAATGCTATTACCTCAAATATAAGTCATGTAAATGGCCTTCCATGAATGCATAGAATGAGTTCACCACAGTAGAACAGTTGTAGGTTCTCAGCAGTAAGATTTAACACGTTTGCACAAATAAGTCTCTTCCCATATGAGGGTGACAGTTCGTATTGAAAAGTTTCATAGGTCAAAATGGTCTTAAAAAATAGCTTTT